CTCATGAATAAATAAAATAAAAATCACACACACACAAAAACCAACTGGAATTTTGATAGAGATCAAGTTGAATCTGGGCATCATTTTGTGGAGTACCACCATTTTAATAATCCATGAACATGGGATGTCTTTTCCATTATTTAGGTCTTCTCTGTTTTTCTTCAAAGATGTGGTTTTCAGAGCACAAGTCTTGCACTTCTTTTTTTAAAAAATAAGTTTATTTTTTTATTGGTGTTCAATTTGCCAACATATAGAATAACACCCAGTGCTCATCCCATTTGCACTTCTTTTGTTAAAATATATTCCTAAATATGTAATTATTTCTGATGATATTACTAATGAAATTTTAAAAATTCACTTTGGACCGGTTATTGGTATAATATGGAGACACAACTGAATTCTCATGTTGACTTTGTGTCCTGCAACCTGTTGAACTCGTTTGTTAGCATTTGGGGAATGCTGACGTGAATGGATGATGGGTTCTGACAAATGCTTTTCTGTGTTTATCTGGATGATCTTGATTTTCCTCTTTTATCTGTTAATTAGTACACAAACACATGAGTATCTATATAATATCTATAAACAATACACAATATGTGTATAAATACCTAAAGACCCACACATACATGTATGTTCATATGCATTTTTCTATGTCTTTTTAGGCAGTTTTATTAGACGTATACGTATTTGAATTTCCTTTTTCTCCTTCCTTACTATCCCTTGGGTTAATTTTCTTTCCATTTCCTCCCCTCTTTTAACTTGTTCTACTTTTTCAAAACAATTTTTCCCAATGTTATCCTAAGATTGATATTAAAATCTGATATAAACCAGTGGGTTTTTTTTAATTCTTTCTTTCTTTCTTTCTTTCTTTCTTTCTTTCTTTCTTTCTTTCTTTCTTTCTTTTATTTTTTTAAATTTTATTTATTTATTTATTTTTTTAAACCAGTGGGTTTTATTCTAAGTCAATGTAAGGACTTTCAAAGTTTAATTCAACTCAATCTTATCTCAGCTTGTTTGCTATTGTTCAGATCTGTTTATGTATCTTCTTATATTTTCCATGATTACTATTTTTGTTTTGTGAAGAGGATTTTAATTTTGATTTATTTGCATATTTTATTTTCCATCGCAATTTCTTCCTTTCTGCACTTCTTAGCTTCCTTGTCCCTTAGAATTTCCTTCAGTCTACGACTAAGCACTGAACTCTATCAGTTGTTTTCTGAGACATCTTTGCTCATTTTCATTCTCAGAGGATGTGTTTTGCTCTGTAGAATTACAGGTATGCAGCTTTGTGGTTTTGGTTTTGTTTTCCTCCCCAGTGCACCACGTCTGTCTTCTGGCCCCCACTGGTCCTGCTGGTAAACCAGGTCAGTCCTGCAGGTGGTCTGGAGGTAATCTCTATTTTCTGGCCTGTGGTTTTGGTGTGGTGTGTGCCTATGTGTGTTTTCCTTTGTGTCTATCATTCTTTTTAGTACTTCCGGGTTCTGTTTAAATTCTTTCATCGATTCGAAAAATTCTTGGTCTTTCTCCTCAAACATTGCTTTCACATATTCTCCCCTTGTCCTTTTTCAGGGGTTCTAAATTCATGCCCATTAAGCCCTCCTCCATGCCCTCTATTTCTCTTATATTTCTCTTATATTTTTAAAAAAAATGTCCCGTCTTCCATCCAGGTATTTTCTATCATCCCTCGCCCCGCTCACTAACCCTCTTCATGTCTCACTGCCTATTAAAACCGTCTACTTATTCCTTTTCATTCACTGCAGATTTCAGTTCTACAATTTCCATTTGATTCTTTTAAAATACATCCCAGTTTTCTGGTGAACGTGCCCAACTTGTCATCAATTTTCTTGCATATGTTAATCACAGTTATTTTAAATTTTGTCAGATCCAGTATCTAGATGGTCTATCGTTCTCTTTGTACTGTTTGTATTTTTTGGTTGGTTTGCTGTCAAATGCTCTCGTCTTCTGATATGCCTGGTGATTTCAAATTAAACGCTAGACTCCGTGTTTTAAAAATGGATATGTTTAATTGAAGTTCTGGATGGTTTTAACTTTTTATAGGCAGGATTGCTTTCACTGAAGCAAGCATGCCAGTTTACTTCTGGCAGGCTAGCCTCATCTGGTCTGGATTGTTGACTGAGGTGGGCTTTCCTCTTTGAAAGAGCTGATCTATTTATTTTTGGTGCTCATACTCATACTTCTGAAGGGTTCCTGCTGACACCCTGGGTTGCTTACATCTCTCTGCCCTGTCATCCTCTTATGAGGATGGATAGCAGCTTTGATCCCTCTGGTCATGTCCACTTACTGGAAGCTCTGCTTAGATTCTCCGGCTCTGTTTGAGTGTTCTGAGGGACAGAGGCGCTGAAACGTGGGGACATCTTTCTGAGCATCCCTTCCCTCTGGAATGTTGATCCCTGGCTCCTCGCTGGCCTGGTGATCCTCTCCAATTCCTTAACACCATTGATTTTTCTGCATATTGTCCAGATTTTCTAGTTGTTTTCAGCAGAATGATTATCTAAGAAAAATGGCCTGCCCTCCCTGGAAGTGGAAAGTCAGTTCTTACTTGAATACAGTTGAGGGTAGTGATCGTTTCTTTTGTGGTTTGTGCTTTTCAGTTGTTTGATTTTATCAGCAAAGTCTTCACTACCCCTAAATCATAAAAATATTCTCCAATTTGTTCTTCTTAAACGTTGTTTCTAAAAGCATGTATAGCTTTTCCTTTCGTATTTGTCTCTAGCTCATCTAAAATTGATTCTTAGCGTGGTGTTGGGAGGGGATTGCAGTGACTTGAAAGCATAAAGATTCAGGAGGAGAGAGAGCTGCAGTCTCTCCTTTCTGCCTGTCCTTCCAGTCAGGCTGAGGCTCCTGCTGTTCCATAATTCTTTGTTTTAAAAACGCCAATTCAGTAGGCTACACTTACCTAGATGAGCACTGAGTAATGTAGAGAAGTATTGAATCACTATACTGTGCACCCGAAACTAGTGTACCGCCGTATGTCAACTACACTGGAATTAAAATCACAAAAATCACAGTGAGGACCGACTGTTTTCATCGAATGTCCATGATACACCTTTTAGGCATTTTGCAAAGCACTAGTCTTAATACTTTAGGCAAGTGTCACCATGGAGTAGGTGCCCTTGCTAATTATTCAGGCATCTTACTATGAGAGTGGTAATCTTCCTTAGGCTCAGACCACCTCCCCACCGTACATCCTCAAATGTGCCCAGCTTCCGGGAGCTGGCTAGAGGCTCTATAAATGAAAAACCTAAATGATGGCTTCTGATGAAGTTGCATTCAGATTTAAAACAAAAACACAGGGGATCCCTGGGTGGCTCAGTGGTTTGGCGCCTGCCTTCGGCCCAGGGCATGATCCCGGGGTCCTGGGATCAAGTCCCATGTCGGGCTCCCTGCATGGAGCCTGCTTCTCTCTCTGCCTGTGTCTCTGCCTCTCTCTCTCTCTCTCTCTCTCTCTCTCTCTCTCTGTGTGTGTCTCATGAAAAAATAAATAAAATCTTAAAAAAAAAAACACAAAGCTGACTCACTGACACATTCCTCTCTGGATTAAAATGGGGTTTTTCTTCCTGGCTCATGTGACAAGACAATCTTCAGAGCCCTTGTCACTCCTGCTGAGACCTGTCTCCCTTGAAGGTGTCTTTCAGTCCCCTGCCTGCCTGGCCGGTTTGTCACACCTTACCAGGAGGGAGGAGAGGCTCTTCCTGCAGCGGTGTGGGGGAGGAGCATGGAGCTCAGGGAGCACCGGCCTGCGGTGGGGGCTCTGGGAGGCAGGCCTGGGTCCAGTAGGGTCAGCTATGGGGATGCCGGGAATGAGAAGGCTGTTTGCAGGCAGCTGCAGGAACCGGACCCAGGCCCCCGGAAAGTGGGGGCCTGCTGAGCAGTCAGGACGCTGGGGCCTGAGCAAACTGGAGTGTCATCCAGAAAGCCAAGGGTCTTTGCCATGCTGAGGAGGACGCTGGGGGCTTGGGAAGGGGCTCGCCCGCACCACCTTTGTTCTCCTGTGATCAGTGCAGCCCCACGATTCTGGACCACTGCCAGGGAAAGGCTGGGCAGCGTGGTGTGGTGGGCGGGGTGGGCAGCAGACTGAGCCATTCCAGGTCCTAGGAGAGGCCTGCCTGGGTGTACTGCAGGGACCCTCCTCCAGGCTGCCCTGTAGTGCTGAGGCCTCCACCTCCAGGCAGAGAGCACCAGCTAGTCCAGAACTTTCCCATCACCTGAATGAAGGCTATTGAAATCTGACAACTGGGCTCCCCACAGTGGGCCACCCCCTGACCCCACGTGGGTATGAAGGTATGAACCCCATGGGAAGGGGGCCCACAGGCCAGGCAGGCCATCATAGCTAACGTGTCCATGCTCGACAAAGGATGTGGCCTAAGCCTATAGCTAGAATCAGGCCTCTGACTCTTCCCTTCCACCTCCACCCCCAACTGCCAAAACGTTGTGGGCAGGACGGGGTTTTGGAGAGCAGGGAGCCCAAACCTGCTGCACAAACCCACCAGCGTGGGAGCCACGTCTCACAGTCCCTACCCCGAGAGTCTGGAGCTCTAGGGCCTGAGAAGGAGCCTCCCTCCTGGAGCCACGCAGGTCCCGGTTCATTCGTCCAGCGCCATCCACCGGAGAAGTCCCTGCTCTGCCCTTGGGGAGTGGACAAGGGGCATGAGGGGTGGGGTGTGCAGGGCAGGGGCGGGGTGGGAAGGGCAGAGGCTCAACTCCTGATGCCACCAGCAGATCCAAGGTTGTAACAAAGGAGGCAGCTCAGGAGGGCAGAGCAATCCCTTCTTGTAGAGGGTTGGGCAGTGACCCCCAAATTCATGTCCACACAGAACCTCAGAATGTGACCTTATTTGGAAATAGGGTCTTGGCACAGATAATTAGTTCAGCTGGGATGAGGTCATGGGGGTGGGCCCTGAGCCAACCACTGGTGTCTTTACAAGAGAAGACAGAGGCAGAGGCAGACACACACAGGGAGAGCACCGTGAGAGCACCGTGTGAACACGGGGTGGAGATGGGGTGACGCAGCCACAAGCCAAGGCACAGCAAGGGTTGTCAGTGGCCACCAGAAGCTGGCGAGCGTGAAGTGGGCCCTCCCTCCGGCCTCAGAGGGAAACAGGCCTGCACACACCTGGTCCTGGACCTCCCGCTGCTTGTTTACACCCTCAGTGGCGGCGATTTGTTATGGAAGCCCCAAGAAACAATGACACCCCTACGGTGACCCTCACCCACCCCCCATGTGACCCCAGAGAGGGTCAGGGCCATCTGCAGCTCACCCAGAACCTCCCAGGTCAGCTGGGGGACGGTGGCCTTGGGCTTATCAATGGTCAGCAGGGCTGGGATGCCTTGAGGTGAGAGCATGGGGCCAGATGCATTCCACCTCTGTGCAGTGGGGTCAGGCCAGGGAGGGTGAGGTCGGGGAGGGTGAGGTCGGGGAGGGCGAGGTCAGGGAGGGGGTCAGGGAGGGGGTCAGGGAGGGTCCGGGTAGACAGGGCTGACCCCTTGCTGCAGGGCCGCCTTCTCAGCAAGCACACAGGCCAGTACCCTCCGAGGCATCCTGTAAATGAGGTCACCTGCAGAAACCTCCAGGGAGAAAGGTAGGCCTTGTTTGGGATGCTGGGGTCCTCGGACCTTTGACAGAGAAGGGAGGGAGAGGATGGGTGCGGGGCTCATCCGCGGAACCAGGTGACCCGAGGCCGTTCTGACATCATCGGACCCGGTACTAACTGAGGGCTGGGTCATGCTAAAGAGCAACCACCCACAGACAAACTCAAACTGCCCAAATACAAGGTCGAGGGAACCCCCGAAACGGTCGTGGTGCCTCTGAGTAGTAGGATCTGACGTTCCCTGTGACTTTTGCATATTTTCAACAATAATGATGTGTCTCTTTGAAAATGAAAAAACACATTTTCTGTCCGAAACGGTCTTGACCAGAGGGGACGAACACTGAGCCCGCAGGTCACACGGGCTGAGACGGTGACCTGGCTGCGCTCCAGGGCGGGGCTCGGAGGCCGGGGACTCCTGGTTTCAGGTCAGCAGTTCCCGGAACAGCTCTCAGCTGACTTGAGGCCACGTCAGGCCTTTCACGTGCGCACACTCGTGGGTCATGTGCGCGGCGTTAGAAACGACCGCCCAGGGGCCGTGTAAGTATCTGTTTCTTAATTCATGAAAGATTAACCGTAACAAACCCATCACATGTCAGCCCAAGTAACACACTTTTGATAAAAAATAATTATGTTTTCAAAAAGAAAAAAAAAAGACACGAGGCTTTAAATTTTTTCTGTTTTGCGGTGTCCTTACTGCCTGGCGTTGCCAGAGGGCCTCGGGGCTGCTCCGGCAGCGGCTGCTGCTGCGCGGCGGCTGCACGGAGGCCCCGGGGAGAAAATCTGGTCTCGCACAGGCGTGTGGTTCGAAAGGACAAGAATGTTTTAATGGGGTTTGCAGGTGCCTGCAGGTATTGCTCTGGAGGCGGCTGTAACCGGTGGATGCTTCCCGAAGTGTAGTCACCGCGCGGCTCCGGGAAGCCCCGAGCTTCCCCCTGCGAGCAGCCGTAGAGGGCCGGGGCCTGGCCGCCGAGGGGGCAGCTCCGCGGGCTCCATGCCCCCCCCCCCGCCTGCCGCCCCGCGGCTTCCCCGGACCTGCACGTCTCCGTAGGCCCCTGGGGAGCGCGGCAACCTCCCCTGCAGGTGCTCTGCTGATCCGGGTGTCACCCGTCCCCGCTGCGAGGTCCACATCTGTCCTCCGTCCTTGACCAGGTGATTTACGCCGTTCCTGCGGCTCTGGTTTCCGTGAGGTCCCCTCACTTGGCTTACAGTTATGGGGCACCCCTTGCCCCATGGGTCTTCGAGAGCAGGAGGGAGTGAGCCCCCTGACCGCCCATGCCAACCTCTGGTGAGCGCCTGGCTGCCTCCCTGTGGCTGGGGGGCCCGAGGGCAAGCCGGGAGAGGCAGCCCCACGTGCTCCACGCCTTGGTGCTGCGAAGGGACCCAGTTTACCTTCCGTCACCCTGGTGTCCTTCCATGACACATGTGTTTTGGGCAGATACCAGGAGAACAAGAGCTTCGGCAGGTCCTCCAAGTCCTGACAGAAACTGGTCAAATCTGTGTACCTGTGTCCTCAGCCAGTCCCGGGCCCACCCCGTTGCCGGGGTGGCAACAAGGCCCCAGTGCCGTCTCCACTGCTGGACTCCTCCGGAGCTCAGGGTCGGTTCACGAGCTGTGGGCGATCATCTCACGGAGCTTAGCCCTCCTGAGCAGGGCAAACGTACGCGGTGGCCACGTACTTGGCCATAAGGACTCTGAAGGCCTTTCTCTCCGACCCCTGCACCAATCGGCCCCTGAAGACGCTCAGGCTGTCGCAACAGGCACCTGTTCTCACGCTCACGGTTCTGCGGGTCAACTGGCGTTAGGCTGAGCAGGCTGGGCTTGGCCGCTGGCTCTGCTCTCCCCCCGAGGTGGCTGCATGTGGCTTCTCATCGAGGGAAGGGATCTGTCTGTCCATGTGTGTCATTCTGGGGGCCGCAGAACATGGGTCTCAAGACGCATCACGGTGAACAAGGTCTCTGCTAAACTAGGCGTCCACTGAAGCTCTTTGCTCATTCCAGTGTGCTAAGGTGTCACGGCCAAGACACCCACCCCAGCCTCAAGGTGAGCCGTCCCTCCACGAGGGAAAGAAGGAGCAATCGTTCCTCAGTCATAGTTCTAACCGGTACACTCTACCCTCTTGTACCAGCCTCTGAAGAGGGTCTGTGTCTGGGCTGGCTCCTGCAAGTGTGCCTGTCTCTTCCGCTGGTCCGTGGCCCACCCTTGTTGCCCTGGTCACAGTTACCAGGAAGCAACTGGTCATTTCCAGCTGCCTCAGGCAACTGACTGGAACTCCTAACAAATGGAAGGTAGAGGATTGGAACTGGACCCAAGCAGGTGGTAGGGAGATAAGAAAGGAAGCCTTAGGCAAACCAGCCACTGTCCCCTCAAGGGAAAAACACAAACCTAGCCTGGAGCTGGTCCATGGGACGCTGCACTCTGATGGAACAAGGATGATGGAATTGGTCCATGGGATGCTGCCCTTAGAGGGAACAAGGATGCTGGAGCTGGTCCATGGGATGCTGCACTCAGAAGGAACAAGGACACTGGAGCTGGTCCATGGGATGCTGCCCTCAGAGGGAACAAGGATGCTGGAGCTGGTCCATGGGATGCTGCACTCTGATGGAGCAACGATGCTGGAACTAGTCCATTGGATGCTGCACTTGATGGAACAAGGACGCTGGAACTGGTCCATGGGATGCTGCCCTCAGAGGGAACAAGGACACTGGAACTGGTCCATGGGATGCTGTGGTTGATGGAGCAAGGAGGTGGAAGTAACTGGTCATTTCCAATTGCCTCAGGCTCCTGACTCTACACCTAATGGGATTGCAGGGGAGCCTGGGGAAGAAAGGGCCCAATGACGGAGGGTCTGAGTCTTCTCAGCAACAGAGGGACAATGTGAAATTGTAGTTGCCACATCTGAAATTCTCCCTGTTTGGAAAGGAGGCTTAAAACCTGACTTGGAAGCCGTGATGGCTGGCAGCACCAGGACCCAGGGGCAGTGTCGTGGCCAGGAGCGTCCCCTACAAAGCCATCAGCGTGCCCAGAGGAGCAGGGGTCTCTAGAGACTCAAGAGCGACCCATGGGTGGGAGCCCGTGAGGAATGGGTGCCCCGGCCCCATGTTGTTTGTGCCGGAGGACATGGACCCCTCCTGAGACGAGGGGGAGTGCGGAGGAGCCCTAGCAGCTGGTGGGCCTCGTCCTGGGTCTCCCTCCTTTCTCGGTTGGATTCGTGGTCCCTGAGGGCAGACACCCTGGGGTCCTGACCACAGCCCGGCCCAGAGGCCACCTCAGTGCCTGCTGACATCTCAGGCGCCCGGGCTCTGGGCGGGCTGGGGGAGGGCCAGGCCGGTCTCTCCCTGCAGGACGAGCGCCTCCGAGCCAGGCCTGCAGGCCCCTCCCCAGGGGGTCCCCCGCTGGCTCAGCTTGGGTTCTCATTTAATAAAGGTGGGGTGCGCACATGGGGGGGAAGGGAGGAGGGAGGGGCCTGAAAGCAGAGCCACGCACGCTCGCGGACCCTCGCAGCGCCCCTCGGCCCGCCCCACCGGGCGTGTCCCCGAGCGGGTGGGTTGGGCTCGCTTGCACGTCCTGACACGCCCGCACATCCAGAGCCCTGCGAGGCTGTGGTACAGGGTCTTACTGCGCACGCTCTGCAGAGGCCGGGGCTTGCACGCTCACACTCGCTGGTCTGCAGACTTACGAACCAGACCCCCGGAGGCCACTCCCAGGACAGCATCCTCGTCGCAAAAACACCGCAGGGAAGGGTGGGATGCCAACCCTCCAACCCTCCGCCCGCTTCGCCCGAGAGGCTTTGGTGGCCGTGGTTGTGGGGCAAGGGGCCCGTGCACTGGCGACTGGGGAGGTGGCCGTCACTGGGAGGGCCTCGCCCACGGACCCGCGCCTGCCACGACGGGCCGCTCTCAGGCCCCGGGCTGCTGTCACCCGGTTGGGCCCCGTGGCCAAGAGCGCCAACTGCTGCATTGCCGTCGGACTCCAGTGCCCTGAACTCTGCGTGAAGCTGAACGTTTTTTTTTTCATATTTACTGTCTCTGGGCTGAGTTTCAATTCTCATTTTTTTCTGGACCCAGAAAGCCTCCCTCTGGGGCAGGACAATTTAAGCAAGTTGATTCCAGTGCCGGGAGGAGACACAGACCGGATCAAGAGCTGAGGGGCCTGTTTGCGGCGGGACCGACACCCCGCGGCTGGGCTCCTGAGCCTCCCGCGTGAGGCCTCAGCAGTTTATCTGGAACGAAAGTCCTTGGGGTCAAGGGCCAGCGCCTGGGCCTTCTCTGGGACCCGATGGTCGCGCCCCCTCCTCTGGGGAACAGTCCAGCTCCACCTCCCCCAAGGGCGAGCTGGAGACCCTCCTCCATTCTGCGGGGCCCTCCACGCCTCCCCTGGGGCGCTGCTGTGAAGGGTCAAGGCCTGGTTGCCGAGGCTGGGGGCCACCCAGACCCCCGGAGGGCGCAGCACAGCCTCGGATGGGCCTCCCCCCTCCCCCTCCCCCCTCTGCCCCTCACCCCGACCTGGGCCCCGCCCACCCATCCTCTCTAGCCTGTCTGCTGGGGGGGGGGCCCTACCTGGGTGGGCAGGCCCCACCTCTGCCCCTGGCACTGGCTGGTCCCCTGTGCAGACTCAGACCACGCGCCCGCCTTCCTTCTCCCGCCCCCATCGCCCTTCACCTGCGCTGTCCTCTCAGCAGCTCCGTGGCGGGTGTGCCCACCGACAGTGTCGCCAGGCTGTCCCCCCCCGCATCCCGGGGCACAGGGAGTGCCGGGGGGCCCGGTCCGGGGTGAGGCCGACAGGCTGCAGGGGACGCCGAGGCATCTGCCGCATGGATCCACGCGTGGGATCGGGGCCGCAGGCCTGTGCACGGCTGCACGCGGGGGTTGTCACCGAGCTCACGTGCCCTGGGCGCCACTGCAGGGTGAGGGCCGAAGACCACGTGTGTGACCTCATTTACAGGAGGGAGGACGTCCGCCTGGTCTGGGGAGGAGGAAACCGGCCCAGGAGAGACGCAGCAACGGGGCGTCCCCCACCTCCAGCCCCCGCGCCCCCAGGGCCCACAGCCGGATTCCGGGAGCCCAGGGCTTTCTCAGTGGGTCCAGGCTCCCTGTGTCTGGATCCCGAGGGGACCCCTTCGGGCAGGCCTTCTGAGGAGGGGCGGGGTGGTGGTGGGAGGCGGGACACATGCAGTCAGCCCCCCAACTCCATGCCCCTGGGCCCCGTCCTCTGCAGTGGGCACCAGCAATGGTTCTGGAAGCCCAGGAATGCGCTGCACGGAGAGGCAGGGTGCCCAGCAGGAGGACCCTGCCCAGCCCGTGGGGGCACGTGGTCTCCACAGCAGCCCCAGCCACGGTGGGAGCCCCCCCCTGCCCTGGAGCCCAGCCGCCCCTTCATGAATATGCATCAGGAGCCACACTTCCCAGCCCTCCCCCTCCTGCCCCCTCCCCAGAGACGGCACTTATCTCTGCTGGTGAATAGGTTGCTATTGTGGGCAGGGCTGCAGAATTTTAATGACTTGCAAAATATAGTTAATTATGTAAAAAGACATCTTCTGCACATTTTCATGTAAATGAGACAAATTAATTGGCGTTGGTAGTTGTGAGAAGGCCCCGGTTCCAGGAGGGGCGGAGCAGGGGTCCCTGACGGTTCTGCGGTGGGTGCTTGCCAGAGAGCAAGGTACAGAGGGAAACGGGGGGGCAGTTCTGACCCATCCAATTAATCCCACCCCGGGGCCACGCGGACGGTCACCCAAACCGTGAGAAAGCGCTGCCTGCGGGTTCCCGCCACCGCCGGCTTCACTGAGAAGCCAGGGGACCTCGGGGCTGCCGGGAAAGTGGCTTGGGGGGTCCCCAGGGCCCCGGGGGGTCAGAGCCTCAGTCGCCCCACCAGTCACTAGCCACGTTCTAAACAGTGGTCCTAAGGGGCTGACGGCCTCGCCCGGTGGGCAGGTGGGGGCAGCACCCACCAGGCTCCCAGCCGCGCAGAACCTCGCGCAGCAAAAAAATCTGCCACTTTAAAGGACTGGAATAGACATTTGTCTAGAGAGGATACTCGAATGGCCGCCGGCACACCAAGAGTTCATGAAAAGATGCTCGACGTTGCTGACCCTCAGGGAGACGCCGGCCCTGACCAGGGGGACGGCGCGGCACCGGGGGACGGCGGGAGTCACGCGAACAGGCAGCTCGGCCGGCGAGCTCGCGGGGCCTGGAGACCTGCGTGTCCTGCTGGAAGGCTGGAGAGAGCAGTTCCGCAGGCTCTCCCCGGGCCCCCGCCCGACGGGAGGGCAGGGGGGGTCTCAAAGGGGTACC